TCATATGACCCATCATGTCCCCACTTCCTCTTTCTCGGTCCAGATTAAATACCTCCCCCTCCCCAAGCAACCCTCCCTGGATCCTCTCAAGGACACATGGACATCCACCCTCAGCCCAGGAATCCTCTCTCCAGCACTCTGACCTCCCTCGTGGCTACAACCATGTCCCATCCAGTAGTTTAATATTTGCTTGTCCTCACACTTCCCTTCCAGTCTGGAATGAACCTCAAGTCAGGACCCAAATCCCATTCTTCTCTGGAGCTCCTGTTTCTCCAGAGGCTACGTGATTTCCCCAGGCAGTTTTGTTTATAAATACTGCTAAGCTTCCATGTACCACTTTCTGCTTTGGAAAATATGGGACTGTCCCAAATCCCAGACACTAGTAAATGACTGCTGTCTGAACAAATCTTCTAAGCTACAAACCCTTTTCTCCCTCTTAGGAGGGCCCAGAACAAAGTGTGTACTGGCAAGCCTGTCCCCAGGGGACTCGGGGAGATGGAAGGCATTTGTCACTGTGTGGTCTGCCAGGGGGCCAACTGGGGAGAGGGAAGCAGCCCCTTGACCTACTCTGCCTCCTGCTCATCTGAAGCCGGCCCAAGCCTTCAGACTCAGGGGATTGGTCACAGGCAGAGAAAGTGGGAAGAGATGAGGAAGGACTTCTAGACTGAGAGCACAGGCTGGGAAGGGATAGGTGAGTGGAGGGGGGATTAACAGTCAGGTGGTGCTAAACCCGTCACCCACCTGACTCCATGCTCAGCTGAAGCCTCACTGTCCACCTTCACTCCACCCCTTCCAACCAGTCACAGGTGACATGACCACAATGGAGAGAGAGAGCAGTGGGAGTCAGGGGCGGATTAATCAATAGGCAAGGTAAGCATGGTGCTTTCTTTGCTTACCAGATCATCTGTACTGAACAATTTCACATTTTTTTCAGCACATCAAAGATTCTACTTCTAGGTATGGCTGGCATCTGTCTGTCTCCCAACCCCATGGCACCTTCTTACAGAATCAAAGCCTCTTTTCAAATTTATAATCCCTGACAGGGGCAGATAACCCAGTAAGCAAGGTAAGCACGGGCTTACTTGTGCTTACTTACTCATCTGTAGCGAACAATTTCACAAAGATGCGGTGAAATACAGATGATCTGGCCAATGAGGTAAGCACCGTGCTTATCTTGCCAATGGATACTCTGCTCCTGGTGGGGATGAGAGGAGGGAAGAACGTACAGTGTGGCTGGGAGTGTGGGCTGCAAGAAGACAGGTGACAAGGCTGGTCAGTAACGAACTCCCCAGGTCACTTGGAACAACTCACGGGAGTGGCTTTCAGTAGTTTTCGGTCACGACTCACACAAGAAATCCATTTTACATCACAACCCGGCACGCATACCTATGTACGTACATAGTAAAACTGAAGCAAAAAGCTTCATGGGACAGTATTCACCACACTACATGTGACGCATGCTGACATTCTCTATTCTGTGTCATTAAAAAACTGCGAAGCTCAACCCACTAACTTGACCTTATAACTCTCTAATGGGTCCCAGCCTGCAAAGTGACAAAACCTGCCTTCTTGTGTCTCAGTAAACTCAGGGGGGCCACCGAGGCTTTAGAATTCCCACTGTGTCCCAACCAGCTGAGCGCCTGTTGTACACCAGACACCACACTAGAAGCCGGGTGTGGTGGAGGGCAGGACAGCTCCCGAGATGTGAGGATGCCGAGTCTGCCCTGGAGGACAGAGAAGGGTCATGCACACGGGCCAGAGCGCGGTCTGCACAAGGTGGAGGCAACGAGGCAGCCCGTGCCCCACAGATGAGAGGCCTGAGGGCATGCGGCCACCAGTAAGCCCCAAGAATGGGCACTACCATGTCTCCCGGAGATGACATCAGAAAGCAGACAAAAACATCCCTGCCCCCCTGCAGCCAACGTGTCCCTTCTCCCCTCCACGGACTGGAGCCCTCTAGCCTCCCCTCCCCACAGAATGGCCCAGAGGGTGGAGAAAGATTGGTGGCAGCACTATTCAGACATAAGGGGCTGCCAGGGCCCACAATGGCTCCCAGGATGCTGTAAGCCCTGCAGGTCCCCATCTCCGGGGAGGTCCAGACAGGGAGGGCTCGTTCAGATGCCCCTGGGGACTGGTTTCAGAGCTGCTGTTGCTGCTCACCGAACCAAGGCTTGAAGAGAACTCATACATCTCAAACTTATTTCTCAAAAAAAAAAAAAAAAAAATTGTTTTTTTATTTTCCAACACCCTCTGAGAGCTCTGAAGGGGAAAAAATAAGCCACTCTGAAGGCATCCTAAGCTCCTATTACAATTATTCCAATGAGATCCTGCAGGAGATCAGCTATACCAGCAAACTGTGCCAAGCTATTTCCATAATGAAGGCCTGTGCAGTCCTCGCCTTCTTTGCTCTAATCACAGCCTCCTTCTCCCTGCCCTTCCATGCTCACTTCCCTCCAAGCAGGCTATTAAAGCCGGGCCTGGCCCTGGTGTGGGCGTTGAGAAGCCACTCAAGTAACTAAGACGGCTGGGAAGCTACAGAGGCTTGTGGCTGATCCTCCCCTCACTCCTGGCTATTTGTTGGCACAGCTAGATCAGGGAGAGGTGGAAAGTAGGAGGAAGGAGACTCCAGCAAGGACACATGGCTGCCACCATATGCCCTTCTCTCCAGTGAGCGAGGTAGAGAATGAATTGACTGAGGTCACCCGCAGCAGGGAGGGGCCTGGGTCAGTCAAGCATCTTGGGGAGCAGCTGGTCACTTGGGGGAAAACTAGGGGTCTCTCCCAGACAGAGACAGCCCCCAGATATCCCCCAGGTCTGGCTCAGGCTGGGCAGCAGAAGGGCTCTGTCACAGGCTGAACTGACAGGAAGCACGGTGGTCGTATTTGACTTTTACCTGACCAGGTGTGAGACCGGTACTAGGCCATGAAGGCTAGGAGAATTTTTTGGGTCCTCAGTTTCTACATATGTCAAATGGGGACGATCATGTGTGGGAGTGTGCATGAGCATTCATGGTAAACTGTAAGGTGCTTCCACATGGAGGGGTTATTACTGTCACTGCAGAAAAGCAGAGATATGCATGTGAGAGCATGAGCAACACAGCCAGCCTTGGCTTTGGGGCTGCTGCTGCTGAAGGATGCTGTCAGCCTGGGGAGGGGATGCAGTAGTGGGTCTGTCACCCTGTGCTACAGCCAGTACAGATGCCACCCCAGCTTGCTCCTCTGCTTGGGAATAGCCACCTTCTCATCTCTGACCACCTCTGGGGGCAGGAAGCAGGGGAAGGTGGGAGGTAACCTCCACTTAAGATGAGAGGCTGAGGTGCAGAGAGGGTGTGTGAGTCTTCCAGGGGTATAGCTAGGAAGCAGTGGAGTCACTGGCTGGTGCTTGTCCTGACCCGCCTGCCTGCCAGCCATATGCCCAGCTCTGGTGCTGGGACCGGCAGGGAGTACCCCCTGCTGGGCTACTACCTCATTTGGAGGAGCAGCAGAAGGAAAGAGAGGAATTGGAAAAGGCCCCAAGGAATAAGAGGAAGGACAGCAAGGGCCAGCAAGGGGGGCCTAGGCAGGAACACAGGGTTTGCTGGCAAGAGCCTGAGTGACGCGGGCAGCACAAGAAGGAGGGGTCTCATGGTGAAAAGGCACTCTGGGCATGCCTTGCTCACTTGCTCAAGCCCCACAGAGGCCCATGTGACCAGGGCACCAACCCAGGAGCAAGACACTTGGGGGCTCTGGTCTTGGAGGGCAAGACTGAGCCAGAGTCTATCCTCAGAGCCTTCTCAGAGGCCAGGGAGCCCTATCCCAGGCACAGGTCCGAGCTTTGGAGTTTTGTATTCTCATCCTAGCACTTCCGCAGCCTCGCTGTGTGGCCTGATGCTCTCTCATAACCTCTCTGGGCCTCAGTTTACCCATCTATGAAAGAATGGAGTCAGGCAACCTGAGACACTCAGAGCTCTGCTGATCCCACCTCCCACCCAGCAAGGGTGAGAGTCTGTCTGCAGCACCCCTGGGAGATGGGACGCTCATACCTCACGAGGCAGACCATGCCCTGCCAGACAGCTCCCAGCCACTACAAAGCTCTTGCTTTTAATCCAAAGGCATAATAGCTGTGGAAGAGCTTACAAAAATAAAAGCATAGCTGAATGCGGTTATAATTACCATCGACATTAGGCAGCATTGACAGTACAGGCGACATGAGAGAGGGTGAAACGAGGCTGGAGTTGAGCACGTGGAGGCTGCGGAAGGAGAGAACAGAGGAAGCAGGAGCACAGAGGGACGCTGGTAAGTGCCAGTCCTCTCTGGGGAGCTTAGACAGTGAGCTAGAGAGGACCCTCGGTGTTCCTGACAGCCTGGTGAGATGGAGAGGTACGTGATTGCTGCAAGAGGAAAGAAGGACTGCTCCCACCTAAGCAGAACCTGGCCCTCTGAGACCTGCATAATTCAGACCCAGAGCAAGAGGGTCCTTGGCGGTGGCGGGTGCCGGGAGGCTGCACTGACGGGGGGAGCATATTGTAGTGGACAGCACAGAGGGGCTGTTCTGAACATGTTCGCCTCATGGCCCCTGCTTAATAATGGTGAAGAGCTCCCTGTGAAGGCAGGAAAGGAGAGTGGGGACTTGGGTTGTAATTAGTTTACAGAGGGTTGGAGTTGAAGGGTCTTAGAGACAGCCTAGACTGGCAGACGGAGACCCAGAGAGGGAGAGCTTGTGGCCCAAGGTCACCCAGCTAGTTTAGGGCTGCACGGTGAGGAAAGCCAAGGCCTTCAAGTGACCAGTCCAGCACCCGCAGGTAGCAGGGCTGTGTAGTGTTTACATGCCAGACCCAGAGCCTTTTGCTCAGCATCTCAGACCAGAAAGTCCAACCCTCTCCTCGCACCTGGGAGGGGCTCACTCCAGAGCCCTGGCCCTGTAAGGGCCTTGCTCAGCGGACAGTGGAAGTGCAGGAGGCAGCAGCAGCCCCCGGGGCCAGACGGGCCAGGCTGGCACTGGGGCCCTCACCCACCACTCACCCGCGATCTCGTTCTCCTCCAGGTTGATGGTCTCCAGTGCCGGCAGGGTGGTGAGCTGCTCGGGGAAGTCTTGGAACTGGTTCCGGGACAGGTCAATGGTCTTGAGGTGCTGCAGGGCACTGACCTCATTGGGGAGGCGGTGCAGGAAGTTCCCTTCCAGGTGGAGCTCTGCCACACGGAGGAGAGAAGAGAAAGAAAGGGTGAGGGGGAAGCAAACCAGAGACCATGTGACAGCCGGGGCTCTCACCTTCACCTGGGCCATGAAGGCAGTGAGGAAGCCCCGGGCCACAAAGGAAGTCCCCCCAGTGGCTGATTCCAATAGGAGGGGTAATGCTCCCGTCACTGCCTGGGACTGGCAGCCTGTCCCTCTAGCTGGGTTCATCTGCTTTTGACTTTGTGATAGATTTCCCCACAGCAGCCTGGGCTTAGACTAAGGGTCAGGATGTGCTGACTCCTCCCTCAGACAAGGCCTCAACTCTCCATGGTCCCTGCTCAAGAAGCCATGGGGGGAGCCATGTTCTTTCTGTATCATGGACCCTGTTTCCCTCCCCTGCCACAGCTGACCAGACTTGGGTGGGTTCCTGGCCCAAGAGTGGCTGCTCCAAAAGCTGACCAGCAACCTACGCGGGGACTGGTCTGAGAAGGTGAGCTGGGCCAGCAGGAGGCCCTCTGCTGGGAATCTGGCCAAGGCAGTGCTGAGGGAGGAGGGTTGGGGGTGGCAGAGGCCAAAGCTGAAATGCCATGTTCTACAGATAGATGTTGGGGTGGCGACGGGAACCTGTGCAAGGAGGCTGGATGAGGGCAGAAAACATGAGTCAATGAGGGCATAATGGAGGTCGTATGACTGCCTGGGCTCCAACCTCAACTGTGCCCCTACAAGCTATCCATTCAGAACACTATTTAACTCCGTTAAATCTTAGTTTCTTCGTCTGTACAAAGGGACTAATATGATACCTGCCTCACAGGGTTGTTGGAGAATTCATCTGTAAACACACATAAAGCACTTGGCACAGTACCTAGTCCAGAGAAGCATTCATAAATGCTTTTCTTAAAAAATTGTGTTCAAAATATATATAATAAAACACTTGCCATTTCAATACTTTTTATGTGTACTAATTAGTGACATTAATTGCTTTCATCATGTTGTACAACCGTCACCACTATACACTTCCAAATTTTTCCAATGCCCTTAACAGAAACTCAGGGAAATGACAAAAACTTCTGCCCTCCCTCCTACCCACAAATGCTATTATTATTATCATCATCACATGATAGGGCTGTCATCAAGATTAAATGCATGCAAGGTTCTTAGCACAATGTCTAGCACATAGTAGATGCTCAATACACCAGAGAAGAACTAAGGAAGCAAAGGGAGCCAGCACATCAGCAGAATGAGGGCGACTGAGACACAGAACCCCATGAGAGGCAGATAAAGAGGTCCAGATAAAGAGGGGCCTCTTTTTTCTGCTGGTTGCCAGTTCCCAGTCCACATATGATCTTACATGAACCCCATTTTGTTCTGTGAACGAGGTGAGCCTCTCCACCCTGTGTGACCCAAAGGAAACTGAGGCCCAGAAATGCCAAGGGACCTGAAGAATATCCTGCTGCTCTCCTCCCAGGGCCAGCTTCGTGGACACACATGTGACCAGTGCAGTTATGCAGGGCCCCATGTACTCAGAACGGCCCCCTACCTGGGGTCAAATGCTCTGCATCACTGTCTCAGGAGTTTTAATAATGTTATCTTTTAATCTGTGTTCTGTAAATACAGCACGTGCCAGGGGTGTGGAGTCTTAGCCCACCAGTGGTCCTGCCTCCCACTGCTTCCCCTGGATGGGTTCTTCCTGCCCTCTGGCCCCCTGGTCTCCCCCGGCCCATCCCTGCTTGGCCGTGCTGGAGCTCTGGGCAGCCAGGAACTGCTCTGATTCATTTTTGTTCCCCTATATCCAGACCCTAGAAGAAAAACCAAAAAAACTCATTGCCATTGAGTTGATTCCAACTCATCGCAACCCTATGGGACAGAATAGAACTGCCCCATAGAGTTTCCAAGGAGCACCTGGTGGATTCAAACTCCCAACCTTTGTGGTCAGCAGCCATAGCACTTAACCACTATGCCACCAGGGTTTCTGGCCCCAGAACGGCACCTTAAAAATATCTGATGCCTTTCCTCAGGAGGGAAACAGATAACGCCTGGGTTATAGAAGCCTGGATTGCCTCCCATTTTCCCATCTTTAGGGGACATCCAGGAACCCTGGTGGTGCAGTGGTTAAGGGCTTGGCTACTAACTGAAAGGTCAGTGGTTTGAACCCACCAGCTGCTCTGCAGGAGAAAGATGTGGCAGTCTGCTTCCAGAAAGATTATGGCCTTGGAAACCCTATAGGGTGGTTCTACTCTGTCCTGGGTCACTATGAGTTGGAGTTGGAAGGGACATTGGAGAACTTAGTCCAGTGTTTCCTAAACTTGCCTTTCCCAAACAGTGTCTACTCAGGCCCTCCTAGCATGCTGCTGTCTCAGTGCTTTTGCACTTGCAGTTCTCTCTTTCTAGAATGTTCTTTACTCATAAGACTCTGCTTCACTTGATTTGTGTCTCTGCTCAAATATCACACTATCTAAAATAGGATTTCCTCCCACAGGCTTCTGTCCCCTTCCCCTGTAGTTTTTGCCTTCATAGCACCCATTTTTCCCTAACATGTTAACCTGTTTGTACACTGTCTGCCTCCCCTCTTGAGAATATAAGCTACATAAGGGTGGGACTTCGCCTCTATTAAAGTGCCCACAACGGTACCTGAGACACGGTAAGCACTTGACAAGTATTTGATGAGTGCATGAATAAATGAGTGAATTTGAGTATCACCCTAATAATTTTGCAAAATTTCTCTTCCACATATAATAGTACTTGTCCTTAAATTGATTTGCTCTTTTTACTTATATGAAAAGGGAAAAGTAGTTATTGCTTTCCATAAGTGGAAAGTAGAAGTAAATGCAATCGATACAAAATAAAGTTATTGATTCTTGCTGGACACTGTTGCCAGAGGAAGGATCTGGCTCTAGGAGGGATTTACCAGTGGCGATAGGTGTGCAGAGCACAGGCAGGGGGCAAGCTTAGCCAGAGCCAGGCAGGGTGGAGCTGTCTTGTGGAGTCTCTCAAAAGCCACTTCTCTGGAATGTAAGTTTGCTCTTGATAAGGACATGGCTGAACTTTCCTGGTTATTCAGCTCCTATTTAAGTGCGTTTCTCCAAGCCCTCGTTTTCTGGAACACACCTGCCCTGCTCTGTGTGGTCTGGCTGCACACGGACCTCTACATCCCTAGTTCACACCCTGTCTGCAGAAGGGGCTGTAATGTACCACTTATGGAGCCAGTCTAGGTACCCCGGGGCAGCAGCTGGTGATTAGAGGGCATCTTCGAGGGCACAGCTCCCTGTCCACCGAGCTTAGCAGCAGGTACCACTCAGAGTTACAGACAGGGCAGCCTCCAGTGTTCCAAACTGTCCCTGCTGTCCCCAGGTTCGTTTCTCATTTCCTTATTCAGGAATCTCATCATGTTTCCACTCATCTCTGTAAAGGCTTCCTAACAGCCCATCCCCAGCCCTCGCATCTCCCTTTCTGAAACCTGCTGTATTCCACCAGCAGATTCGCTCCGTAGGTGCAATGTGCCTACTCGGCCCCAGGGCCCTGCAAGGGGCCAAGATAGAGAGAGGGAACGGCTTGCCTCCTCCTGCTGGGTTATACAGACACCCAGGGCATGGCCAACATGCAGAAGTGAGGGTACAACCCCATGCAGGGGAGGGAGACCCCTCGGCACCCCTTCTCCCATGGCTAATGGCGAGAAGCAGTGTGATATAGGGGTTACACACAGACTCTGGAGCCAGATAGCCCGGGGTTCAAATTCTGACTCTGCCGATTCCTGACTGTGGGACCTTGAACAAGTTGTTTATCTTTGCCTCAGTTTCTTCATCTGTAAAATGAGGACAATTGTTGTTAGTTGCTGTTAAGTCTGCTCAACTTCATGGCAATCCCATGTACAACAGAACAAAACATTGCTCTGTCCTGTTCCATCTTCACGATCATTGGTATGCTTAAGTCCACTGTTGCAGCCACTGTGTATTCTGAGTGCCCTCCAGCCTAGGGGGCTCATCTTCCAATATTCTCTCGTGATCCATAGAGTTTTCGTTGGCTAATTTTCAGAAGTAGATTGCCAGGCCTTTCTTCCTACTCTGTCTTAGTCTGGATGCTCTGCTGAAACCCATCCACCATGGGTGACCCTGCTGGTATTTGAAATATTGGTGGCATAGCTTCCAGCACCACAGCAACAAGTAAGCCACCACAGTATGACAAACTGACAGATGGGTGGTGGGAAGACAATAAGAGAATCTCTCTATAGGGCTGTTGTGAGGTTTGAATGAGTTAATATATGAAAAGGGCTTTGAACAGTGCCAGGCATACAATAAATACTATATGAGTTGTGAAACAGACAGGCATCCCAGTGTGGTACAAACAGTTAATGTGCTCAGCTGCTCACCAAAAGACTGGAGGCTCAAGTCCACCCAGAGGTGCCTTGGAAGACAGGCCTGGCGATCTGCTTCCAAAAGGTCATAGCCTTGAAAATGCTATGGAGCACAGTTCTACTCTGACACACACGGGGTCGCCATGAGTTGGAATCAAGTTGATGGCAACTGGTTTATATGAGATAGAGGGATGGGTGGATGGACAGATAGAGAGATATGGTAAACCATGCAGAGTACCTGGGTTAATCCAGTAATCTTGTTAGTACTGAGTTACCTACTATACTTTTATTAATAACCACCCAAGTTTAGGCTTAGAAGAGAAGAAAATGCTCTTCGCCTGAAGCCACAGGGAAGCTTTGCTGCTTCAGAAAGCCCCCTCAGGCTTCTAAGGCCTTTGGGGAGCAGATGTTCAGAGCAGCCAGCAACAAGGACTGATCAGCATGGTCACAGCACCATGGATGCACAGCATGGAGGCTGGAAAGGGGTCTTACAACCTGCTGGTCCAGCTCCTTCATGCTACAGGGTCAGACCCCACAGCCTGGCAGGGTAACTAGGGTAATCAGGGAAGTTGGGGAAGAGAATCTCCTTTCTCTTGATTTTGTTACACCCAGTTTTTTACATATTCAGAATGACTTTAAAAAAAGAGCCTTTTTGCTATGGAAAAC